TCTAAAATACTTGGGATTTCCAGCCCATTCTGGTGCCAAGAGACATTTAGACAAGCCATTCCCAGTTCTGAAACAGTTGCATCTGGAAATTCCTTCTGGCTCTCTCCAGGTCTCCTTCCACTGGAAGGTGTCCCTGGATTGGAACAGGGGGTTGGAAGTGGATGATCTTCAAGGCTCCTTCCAACCCACACCATTCCATGATTCCAGAAGCCAGATCCACCCCGTTCCTAACCCAGTTTGGCTCTTATTTGCCACACAAAATTGGCCTCTGGGCCACAGAGACCTGAGCAAAGCACTTGGTTTTATCGAGGGCTTGTCTCGGGCTCGCCGAGAACTGTGCAGGAATTTCTCCATGGAAAGGGTGGTCAGGCCTTGGAAGGGGCTGCCCAGGGAGGTGGTGGAATCCCCACCCCTGCAGGGATTTAAAATCCCTGTGGATGTGGCATTTGGGGACATGGGTGGCCTTGGCAGTGCTGGGAATGCTTGGACTCCATGATCCCACAGGTTTTTTTCCCACCTAAATGATTCCATGATTCCACGATCACACGCTCCAAACACAAGAAAAGCAAGGGAAAGTTTTTTTCCCTCCATTTTCCAGAACCCTCCCAGTGATTTTTACCACTAAAATAATTTCCTCTCCCTCATTTTCCTGCACGTCTGGGGAGACAAACCCATCCCTCTCCTGGCAATTCCTGGGATAAAATGGAAGAAGCCCCAAAGCAGGGAAGGCCTGGGGATCTCCAGGTGAATGGGACTCACCTGATCAGCCCCAAGACACATCCTTCCTGCCCCTTTGTGATGGAGAAATCCTGCAGGATCTGCTCAACTCTGCGCAGGGCCGACTCCTCCCTCATCAGGTACTGGTGGTACAGCTTTTTCCAGGGAATGAACTGGAATGGGAAGCACAAACCACAGGTTTTCACCTCACAGCACTGCCAAAGAGGTTTCTTGTGGCAAATAAGCCCCAAAAAAGGTGATTTCCAAAGACCTGGAGTTCAAAAAGTAGCTCGGTGGGGACAGATACCTGACAGGAGATTGGGAAGGAAAGAGGAAACTTAGGAAAGAAAGGCTCAAAGCCTGGAAATAAGTCCATAAAAAGATGGTTTTTCCCAGAATGATGGGAACAGGGTGATGCTGGTTCAGTTGGAAATATCAAAGCATGAAATAAATGGGGATCTTTTCAGCCCAGATCTCACTCCCCAGATCAGCCCCGAGCAGGGTCTGAGTGCTTAAAA